CCCTCCAGGAATGCAGTATTACTTTTGGTTTACTATTTTCCTAGGTAGTGGCAGTTCTAATAGCTTCCATTTGGTTTTTCCTACCATAATAGCCTTTACTCCACTTGTTGGAGATCCAATGTGGGGGTCCTGCCAGTTATTGAGTGTATCTATTCCAGTTATGCATTCTGGAGCTGCGGAAATCACTACACGATCAGAGGAAACTGAACTAAGACTCTATTAATAACCTGATCTCCATACACCCCCACTCTGACTGGTAAGCCGCAGTGATGTTTTGGGTCTCTTGAAATTAGTGTCAGTTCAGAGCCAGTATCCAGTAATCCCTGAAAAATCTAATTATTTCCTTTTCCCCAGTGAATAGTCACTCTTGTGAAAGGCCGTAGTTCCTTTGGGGAAGGCTGGGAGAAAGATTAACAGTATAAACTTTTTGGCAGTGTAGGGGGATTCTTCCTCTAGGGGATTCAGCCCCCTCTTCATTCAAGGAGTTGAGGATCTGTAAACTGGCTCAAGTCTGGGAATTGATTGGGGAGCTGTGACTCTATTCTGGCGATTCACGTTAGATTGCCATTCACTTCACCTAGAATTCTGCTTGTCCAGATCAAGTAAATATTTAGTAGATTTCCCATTTCGTTTGCTGCTAGGGACACCATAACTAAATAGTCAACAGCATAAATGCATACTAGTCAGACTATTCTGATTACTTCTTTGACTCCACTGTCCTTTAGAGTAGCCATGCCTACCTTGTCTTTGTCAATTGAGTGCCACCACTTGGCCCCTACCACCAAAGGGCCCAGTCAGCCCCCTTGTAGTTAAGTGTCAACTCAGGGTAGCTCCACTGTGTAATCTTATGTACATAAAATAGCAATCACAGCAGTCTTTAAGGATGCTGGAGTTCCTTTCACAAATTTGTCCCTCACTGTATCGGTAGCTGGTGTGTTCTCTGGGCACTCTATAGGTGGGTTTGTGGGTCCAACCTAATAAATCCACTCTAACATGCTGATATCCCTAAGCCTTTGGATACTTTCTTCTACAGTATACCAAGGTAAGTCTGATAGTTCAACTCGATTTAGTGTAGGCCACTGTGTAATCCGTGCTTCACCAAATCAACCAAATAAACTATTAGATCCTTTCCTAACCTCTTGAGCTGAAATATTGAATGAAGAATCTGTGCTTAGTGGGCCCATATCAATAAACTCAGACTGATTCATCTTTACATTCCTTGCATCATTATCCCACACCCTTAATAGCCACCCCCACATGTATTCCCCAAGTTACTATTTGTACATATCAGAAAAGCTAAGCAGTTCTTTTGGACTGTAGTGTACCTCCTCCTGGGTCACATTTTATACTTCATCTTTTGGGGCCTGCTGGGACTTAAGTCTAGTTATAGGTCTAGAAGCAAAAATGGGTGTTGGGGATGGGTCCTGGGTACATTTAGCAATGTCTTGTAAGGCATCTACCTCAGGCAATGTGCCAGACAATGCCCCAGGTGGCACCTCAAGAGATATCTCAAAGACTCTTTAGGCACAGCTGAATTAATCTCATCACACAGAGGTGAAAGGGTTAATGGTTTTACTGGGGAGGGTGGCTTAACAGTCAAAGATGGAGTGATCTCTTCAGATGGGAGTAAGAGGGCCGGTTCTGTTGGCAGGAGTGATTTGATGGAATGTAGGAATTCAGTGTGCCCAGATTCCTGATTATCTGGCCTTATGTCCCCATCCAAAGTTTCTGGATCCCACATCTAACCAATCAATGCTCTCACTTTAACTTCAGATGCCATTAGAGATTGGGAATTCAATTAACATGGTAATTCAGCCACTCTTATGATAAAACTCTGGGGTTTGGTTTTTGGCAGTACCAGCTCTGTTACTACAAGAAATAAGTCTTTCTTTCAGGGCACATGTGGCAATTTTAAGGTCTGTTATGCAGTGCTTGAGCTGTAACTAGGAAGCCCTGAGCTCATCTCTTTCTTTCACCAATTTGTCTATTGAAACTAGGACCAACCAACCTGCTTCCCTATACTTCTCATTCTGACAAAATTGTTGAAAAGTATCAAACATGCAATCACCCAGAGCCTCGCTTCTCACCAATACTTAATCTATTGGTGGTGATATTTTACGCATTAATATTGCTACCTCACTCCATGGATTAGCAGCACCCTGTTTACTACTGGAGACAGAGTCATCAGCATCTTTAAGACTACTCAGACTTGAGAACCAATTTAGAAAACTCATACTTACACTTTTGTTTCTCTAGAACCACTCTCAGCACCAAATGTCTTAGGCTGGGTTCTCTAGAGAAGCAAAACTATTTAAGCATATACATATACATATATATACATTTTGTTGTTGTTAGGTGCCGTCGAGTTGGTCCCGACTCATAGTGACCCTATAGGAGAGAGTAGAACTACCCTATAGGGTTTCCAAGGAATGAGCGATGGATTTGAACTGCTGACCTTTTAGTTAGCAGCTGAGCTCTTAACCACTACAGCACCAGGGCTCGATATATATAT